CTAGTAAATTAGAAGAATAGAAATATTTTTTCAAGAGAAAAATTTATGAAATTGTATTGGAGATTGAACAATATCAGCATGGAAAGGGAAACCACACAAAATGGCTTCTTTAATTCACCAATGTTACAGTTTTGTTTGATGTATGAGTATCCTCAAGATTTTTGGGACTGGTATTTTTTAATAACTAGTCAAGCAAAGGTGTTTTTACTTGGAATTAGGAAAAGGACACGAAGTAAGAGAAACTTTAAATATTTCATGCAAGTTCTTTGATCACAGGTGACATACATGGGAATTATCGGGACCTGGTATGCTTTGAGAAAGCGCTTTGGAGGGTTGGTCCTCATCTGACACCAGCCAACTTTTTATTCCTTGGCGACTATGTTGATCGTGGGGATTATGGCATTGAGGTGGGATTTTTCTCTGCTGATGGCTTCAAATTTGTTCTTGTTTGTTTTTGTAGTTTATTTTTATAGTGAAATGGTACATTTGTTTAAATAGTTTGTATATTTGATATTTTATTGTTATATATATATTTATTTTTTTATGGAACTCAAGGTGTAAATTTTTGCTTTTACTTGATAATCTAGTGTAAGTGCAAGACTCAATCTTCTTATTTCTTATCTTTAAAGTTCACCTTTTATGATTCCAGGTTGTCTCATATTTATTTGCTCAAAAGCTTCAGGCCACTGGAAAGTTCTTCCTCTTGCGTGGTAATCATGAAGTTCGAGACATCCAGAAAATGTTCACCTTTCATCAGTAAGTCTTAGATTGTATAAAAGTAAATGACTTTGTTAATAAAGTTGATAAAGAGAAGAGGAAAAGCACCAGTAGGGGATAGAGTGTTAAATTTTACATGATATTATATTTTCATTACAGGGAATGCATAAGAAAGTTTGGTGAACGTTTAGGAGCAAATGTTTGGAATGCTGTAAACGAAGTATTTGACTGTATGCCAGTTGCTGCTATTGTCGATAAAAAGGTCTGTTCTTTTGTTACAGTAGTATGTAAGTGTGAATACTGGCTTTAGTAGATATGTTATTAAACCAATGCTGTATGTATCTTCACATGTATATAAAATTAAAATGAATGCAAACAGTGTCATAGCTAGGTATCAATGGGGGGAACTCAAAGATATTCTGATGCCTAAGAAGGGTATTTGAGCCTATTCTGGTATCAAATCAGTACTGGGTTTTAGTAGTGAGCATTACACAATTGCTGCTATATTCATAGTATCCAAAGTATATTATAATTATATGAAATGGAAATTAGATTGGAGTGCATGCTGGGGGGCACAAGATTTTCATGGGGAACATGTGGCTCCTTATGTCACTTAACCCATTTGTGATGGGTGTCCCACGTATGAGACACCTGGAGAAAAAAAAACTTGCCGGGTGTCCTGCCAGTGTGACGCTGTATCGGGGTTGGTGCTCTGACTCAGCAGCGGGCCGCGGCAGGTATGTGGGCAGAGTCCAGGCCAGCCATACATGCCGATTTTGTAGCCGCCCGGAAACTTTTATTTTCAGCTTCAAAATTTACCCGCCTTAGTGAGTTAATGCAAGTTTGCTGTGAAAATGACCATTATTGAATATCACAGATTATCATGGTTGTAACCACACAAAAAAATGGGGAGACAAAAGCACAACATTAAACAGCTCCTTATAAATTGTTTGAAATTTAAGAAGTTATGGGCAGTTAAAAGGACTATTTTTGTTCTTGTTATGAAATGTTTGTGTATATATAATTCTTGTTTTATCTTTACAAAAATAATCAATGTGAGGAATGCAGTTGCCAGAGCAGGATATGACTGAGTGATTACTCACTAAAATAAAACTCATTAATAATGAACACCATACATAACTTTTGTAATATTTTGAAGACCGCATTACATTTTCCTTTGATAATTATACTTTGTATGAGACAGAGCTCTGAATGGGTTATTCCATGCCAATTCACCAGGGCATCACACCATACCCCAGCAAATAACTTTAGATTTTGTAGATTTGGTACAAATATTCCCTTCTGTGAAGTATATAATTATGCTGATTTATTTTGCCATAGACCTTACCCTTTTCATTTTATTGGTGGTTCAGTTTTTCCTTATTTGGCCCCCAAATTCGGGATGTGGAGCATCTCTGGATCATGGTACCTTTTAAGAATTTTAAAATGAGTACTTGCATAATTTCAATGTACATGAAATTTGGTGCACAGAGCAAACAAAGGCTCTAGATTTTAAATAATGCACTTACTTTATGAATTTTTAATTCTCAGCAAAATCACCATGAAAAAGCACATCACCCCAAATTTCCTCTTTTTTCTGCTTCCAATATCTTTATTGAGATTTAGCCAAATATGAATGTGATGCAGGGTTATGGAAGAGATACAGTGAAAATGAAAATTATGATCTGATATGTGATTTTTCCATTGGTGCTGAAACACAGTTCAATGTGTTGTTTCAGGATATGTTTGTTGTGATGCGACAACAAATTTTGCATTAGCATGG